CACTGTGAGAGTAAAGTGTCTTGCCCAAGAAGACAACACAATGTCCCCGGCCAGGACTCGAACCCGGACCGCTCGATCTAGATTCAAGCACACTAACCATGAGGCCACCGCACCTCCCCCTAGAAGAACGTTGGTATAAGCACACTTAAAGCTTTAGCTGATCGAATGATACTTTCTTTCTACGTATTCTGTTTCAGAACCTAATAGCGAGGAGTTCCTTTTTGAGCTGAGAGCATCAGAACCATTCACTTTAACAGTGACCTTTGAACATCCGTGTACATCCAGCATGGCTTCCAGTAAGTGCACTAGCTAAATAATGATCAGCTTATAATTTCTCCTAAGAATGTCAATATCATGTCAACACTGTGTGGAAATCAAAAGAGGAGTGTTTGACCACCCGTCACGCAAAACCTTGTCACACAACCTTTCTTCTGAATCAGAAAGATTGCATTACAGTGAGAGTTTTACCCGAAAACGTGACACAAAACCCTCGGAGTGAACGGAGACCAGTGGACGAAGCTTGTTACCATTCCACCACCCTTAACGTATCCTCAAAAAAATTGCTTTTTTCTTATACGGACTGCAGAGGAATTTACATCTGTCTTTTGTTTCAGTTGATTTTTTCGTCTCTGAAGATCTTACCGTAAAAGCTACTCTGACCACAGTGCCTGGAAAACCTCTCTTTTGCTCCAATGATTACATCTCCAGAGTGACTCAGAGGTGAACATTTTGTGATTATTTTAAGCGTGTGGAACAAAAAGGGTTTAACCAATAGCTGAGAATTGGTCCGGCAAAAGTTTTACTGTCAGCCGAGAAATGGAGCATTGTTATTTTCAGCTGATAGCAGAGATCTGAGATCTGCAACTGAGTTCAGAAATGGCCTGAAATTTATTTTGATTGCTAGCTGAGAAGTCAATGAAAATTGGACTGATAACTTTGATTCCAGCACCTTCATCCAGACCGTCCATTTTGTCTGAACTCAAGGGAGGCAGTCGGTGACCAGTGTTGTGTCCTCCTTTTTGTTAGTCGATGTTTTTCTTTGATTTAGGTTCGATACCAACGCCAAGTTTGAAGTTTGTTCTCCTTGATTTTTTTTTAAATTTTTTATTTAAACATATTTTAATATGTGTTTTCCCCAAGAGCTGAGAGGGCTCTTTATTTATGCACAAAGTAATTTTAATACATGTTCGACCTCTTCCTTTGCTTCGAACGGGCAAACTGGTATTCCTTTTTTATTGACAGGTGTCTATCAATCCCAGCTGCAATGCGTTGCATCATAAGAAAAGCGCAAAGCGTCAAATTAGAGGAACTTCCGGTCAAGGCCAGTGAAGAACTTCCGCTTCCCTTGGGCACAGGGCAACCAGCTGCCAAACTAGCAAGCCTGTCACTCCCTCCCAGTGCCGCGCTGTTCGGTGCGGCCGTGGGGACTCCATCGAATCCGAACACGCCCGTTTTCCTGGGCACGTCACCATCGTTCACGGCTTTTACTCTCGAGACGCCATCTCCTACGTTCAGCGCGTTTCCGTTTTCTTCCATATCGCCGACGTTTTCTTTCTCCACGGCTGAGGTAGCGGCTGCTGCGGCAGATGCTCCCTCGATGGCCGCCAAACAGCCCGAGAAGAAGTCCGACTCCACAAAAACGCCGAACTTGAAAATCACACTCAAGCGTAAACGTGATGATGAATACGTCATTCAGAACTTTCAACTGCCAGAGGAGGTCCCTAAGAGCGGAGGGAACTTAACAGGCAGCCAAGCTACGTCTAAAAACAAAGACACAGTGATCTCAGATTCTATCGAAGGAGATAACTTTTCGTTTGATCTCGCGGCCGTTTCAGGGACAAACTTCGTCATGGGAACATCATTCCCTGACGTAACAGCTGGGCTAGATGGGTCAGCAGTGGTTTCTTCAGGCAGTGCTTCAGCTGGTCAACACGTCGCTATGGCGAGCTCTGACTCTATAGCAGCTGCGAGCGGGTTAGGGATCGTTCCCGCGGGAATCGAGGGATTACCCTCGACTGCCGATTTGTTCGACGCTGACGGCACGGATTTGGAAGGAATTCTTCAGAATCTATCTGGAGCTTCTCACCTCCCCCCTGGAATTGTATCAGGCAGCTCGGCTTTGGATTTTGATACAGGATTAGGTATGTTAAAAACATAAGGGAGGGGTGGCTGGTGAAAAATTGGCCGTTGTTTGTGAATCTGTTGCGAAAGGGAAAAAAGAGCGTTCCCCGATTTAACAAATTCCATCTCTTTGAAAGGCACAAACCAAGGTAAATTTATATTAGTTTGGAAAGTCACTGGTGAAAAGAACTGAACTTACGTGGAAGGATAAAGCAGTTTGTCTTCAAAGAGACTGTTTAACTGTTTTACGGTGGAGAAGTGCTAACCTTCAACTTGAAATTGAAAAAGGTAAATTAACCGCCATTGCTAACTTGGCGAACTGATATTTCGAGCGTCAACCAGTTGTCGAAGCAAAATTCGCTACGGAGTTTAATTTACCATTATCAGTTTTAAGTCGATAATAAGCTATATGTGGAAATTAGGCTTTTAAATCTCGTTGCGTGTTCTGTGTTAGGTCCTGGAGTCCCTGGACTTGATGTGACGGATCCAAATTTTGACATTGATGCGGCCATCGATGCGAGTGCTGCTGCTGACCCAAGTATTGCAGGCACTGCAGGTATTCTATTTAAACTTTGCGGTGTGACTCTGCCTCAAACCAGAGGCATGGAGTTGTAGATTTTAATCTGCTGATCACGCAAGGCATTCTAATGAAAGAGACCTAAGGGACATGTTGCATGACGGGGAGGAGAGGAACGTGCTAGAAATGGGAAATACGTTACTGAAAACTAAAGTTTAATTCCTTTTCGTCCCTTGGTTTTTTCAACCTTCCTTCTCATTTTAGGCCTACTACCCAGGCTACAATCGTTTCCAAACGTTGAGCACGTGTAACTATGGCTGCAGCGAAAGCGTTGCGAGATATTGTTTATAAGACAATTTCTTATGGCACTTAGGTCAATGACTGTTGAGAAATCAGACATTGATCAGATCATTGGCTAAGCTATACCGGTTTTCTTCCTATCTTCCCAGGTACCTTTGACGTCGACGCCACGCTGGACTTTGACCTCGATCACATTGCCGGGGTGCGGGGTCTTCCTCCTGACGTCACGGGCACGGCAAATCTACTGGCCGTTAGTGGACTGGGTGACGGAACTGTTGACATCGACATGCCTGGAACATCTCAATCAAAAATGTAAACTGCGCGTGACTTCAAGTTGGCTATTGCGTGACTCAGATGTCGTGAACAATTTTCGTGACAGTCACGCTTCGTGAGATTTAGAGGCTCCCTTCCAAAGGGAGGTAAATAGTAGTCTCCTCCGCAGCCGTTTTTTTAGGATGTCACGCAACTCTTCCCCCCCCCCCCCCCCCNCAAGAAACGGTTACTTTGGGGGGACTGTTGCGTGACATCCCAAAAACGGCTGCGGCTAGAGGTGCTCTGTCACTTTAAAATGATTCAAAGCACGGTCGGATTTTGGGTCAAGAAGTCACGACGGAAAAAACAGGGTTCGTACGGGTCCTAGAAAACCTGGAAAGTCCTGGAATTTTATTGTGGCATTTTCCAGGACTGGAAAGTCCTGGAAAAAGGCTACTGGTCCTGGAAAGTTCTGGAAATCTGTTAAACTCAAGTAAAAAAAAATGTGAAATGTATGGCAGACAGTAAGGAGAATTAACATTAAGATTTTGGGAGTGAAAGGGTTAATGCGAATTTTAGAGTCCTGGAAAAATCAATCTGAGTCTTGGAAAAGTCCTGGAAAAGTCCTGGAAATTTGTTTCTGAAAAAGGGTACGAACCCTGAAAAAACCCGTGTCAGGTGATAAGATGTCGGTTAGCGCGTGTTTCCACTGCCTCGATTTACTTGACAATCAAACGAGTCAAACAAAGGTTCTTATTAAGTATATACTACGCGGGAAATGATTTTGCGAGGAAAAAGTTTCAAGTGAAAAATAAGGAAACCAGGAAATTGAAAAGGTGTATCGAGAGAACATTAGGCGTGCAATTTTTTAAAAAAGTAACTTAAATTGTTCATAGAACGAAAAATGCAAACAAACGTATTATTAATTTAGTGTTGCAGTTGTCATTATCCCTTTGTTTAGTAACTTAAGTGTTCTTATCTCGAAATACAAACTATCCCAATCAAACGTAAGCGTAACTTGAGAACATTTTCAGAGTTATACACCTTTGTTGTGTAAACGTACCTTCTACTTAGTATTTCCTTTTGTATTTCTCTCTTGGGGTTACGTATTGTAAATAGTGTAAATAAACTTTGAACGACAGTCCCTCTCGCTTGCAAGTTTTTATGAAGCTAACAGAGAAGGATTTTCTCGACCCAGACCATCACTCTTTTTCGCTCCACTTGTTGCCAGTCTCTCTATTAGAAAGGTCTCGCACCCGAGACAAAATTCTCATGATGGAGCGGAATGCGAAAACCAAAGGACAATGTATCAAATGTGGTTTCTAGACTGCCAAGTCTGCCGTGGTCAGTTATCCGAGTTATTCGTTTTTATCCGGGGGCTGCTAGTTAGAATCACAACCAGCACCTTTGTCTTTGTCATGAAATTGTAATTAATTAAAAAAAAAAAACATAAAAAAGAATTAGGGGCCACCTCCTCGGAAGTCTCGGTAGTAACTGGTCCAGAAATGCACTCTTGCTTGCCGTGTTTACATTCAAGATCGATAAATTTATAGTTTTGAAATTCAAACAAAAACATCAGCAAACGAAACAGAATGGATTGGTTTTTGAGTTAAAACCCGCACTACTATTCCTTACATTTACAACTTGGGTCCGTTAAGTTAACGGCACTTTCGAGACCGGCGTGTGTGCTGGCGGCAGAGGGGGGTGGGGGTGGGGTGGGGGTGTATTAGGGTCGGGGCTTGGGTGGTATATTCAAGGTCAAAACCAAAGAACTTAACACTGAACAGCAACAATGTCAGAATAGACGAGTTTATTGACCCTGGGCTGCAACAATTTACAGGACAAACAACACATAAGAATGGAGAGAGAAATATACAAAACACAGAATTATTTCCGCGGGCGTCACTCGATTTGTTGAAAAAACAGACATGTCTCGGAAAAAAAAATAGCACAGGATTTACATATCGATTTCTTTCTTCTAGATATAAATACAATTGTACAGTTCATATTTAATGTGCAACATTTTAAAAACACTATTCCACTGTCTAACTGCTTGAGGTTGCGAACATTTTTAATTTCGAAAAACCCTTTTGCCTTCGTGCTAATTTTATTAACTTTACATCGGACTGAAGAGTAAAAATGTCAGAAAGTACGCCAGATTCATGGACAGTTTCATTGTGTGGCATAAAATCGTTAGTTAATGAACGTAGCGTAAGATCCCTTCTCCAGAGACCGCAATCGTTTTGGTCGGCACCAACACTCGTGACCTCTGGCCATCATCTAGTATTCTTGAAATGTATCTGGCTGATACACCAAAGAGAAAAAACATGAGAAAACAAAGTTCGAAAAATTAGCTCCGGCCAAAGGTCGCTATTCTTGGTCCTGAGCAAAAAGATCGCGGACTCTGGACAAGAATGTGAAATTGCTTCATGCAAAATTTACAAAGTATCAAATTCTGTTTGTTAGTAGCTCCACAACTTCATTGAATTTTTGATAGTGTATTTTTTTGGTCCGATGGGAGTTGAATCAAATTGGAGAAGCTAAGAAACCATTAAACTAACATCACGCAAGGTTTGGCTACAGTTCTTGCGATAAAAACATCTCTAAACAAATCCATTTTCCTCCAATGGATCATGCTCGTCATTACCATCATCGTCATTATCGCTTTCTTCATCGTCCTCTGCATCGTTGCCGTTCTCGTTCACTCGTCCATCCACGTCATCATCGTCGTCGGCATTGTCGTCGTCGTAATCATCGTCGTCTTCGTCGTCGTCGGAGTCTCGGGATCCACCCCTCTCTACTTGGTCCCTGTGGATAATAGCGCGTTCGTAAGCCATCATCACTGATTTTCTCATGGATGTTTTGCGACCCTCCTGCAACTTGTTCTCGTCTCGTTCTTCGTGCTGTCCCAACGGTTCGAGTTTGTGTCGAGGAAGCCATTGCCTGGATAAAGCAAAGGGTAAGGGTTATATTTTAAGGCAGATCAGGCGAGAACGAAATTTAACCTGCGAGTAAGAAGAAGATTTGGGCGATAAAGGTAAGATGGAAGTCAGTGACTAATTTGATCTGAGGATTTGCGGAGCTGAGTATTAGTCGGCCCTTATAAAAGTTCGAGCACGCTGAAATTCATTCACTGGGCTTGGGAATTGACTAAAGCGCATGGATGTTTGTGGCTAAAGCGAAATAATTCTTGTAAGCACTCAATACCAGTTTGAACTGTGAACGGAACGAGTTGAAGACAGTATCTATTGTCTAAAAGAGAAAGCGACCACTCTCAGCCCAAGCAGCCACTCTTACTCCATCCAGCCTCACCTATCATGAATGATACGGCAAGCGAACTTTCGCAAAGGTACAGTTGCTTCCCCCTACTCAGCCCCAGCCAAGGGTACAGTTTGCTCTCCTCTAGGATTCTTCTAAAATTTTGGTCGACAATCTAACAAATCACTAGAAAATATTCATTTCCTACGTACACTTACCAAGTTCGTCTTGTGTCAAAGAACAGTACAAGGTAAAGATGTTCTTCTGTAATGGCCCGCTCCTTCAAAACATCCTCAGGGGGGACAGGGATGGGGACGCCACGGTGAAGGAAACCTTTCTTCGTTCGAGGATTTATGATCTGTTAGAGAGACGGAAAAACATTGTTGAGGCTAATCTTAGATAGAGAGGTATTCGCTACGCGATCAGCCTTTCGACTCACTAACTGTCGCAAAAAAGAGCATTCCAAAAACTCACGATAGTTTTTGCTAGAATAATACAAATCGGAAATTTCCGAGTGCTTGGTTGTCGCAAACGAAGACATATTCGTCTCTTGCACTATTGAATTTCGCTTTAAAGTGAAGAACATATAGTCGCTTTGGAAGGAAACAAAAAAAGATCTACAAATGTGACCATGTTATAGCACGTTAGTTACTGGAAATTTCCACACA